CTCTCCAAATGGAAGCCTGTATTTGTGGATAAAATGGGATCAAAAATGGTTAAACTCAAGAAAATGCCCAGATTTGTGTTAAAAGAAGAGGGGATGCTTATCTCTTTTCTGTTAGCAGCCATCAAATGAAAAAATTTGTGGATAAAATTGTAAAACTGTTTCATTTGGTGTGTTCTGTTGTGAATAAAATCACTGAAAATCACTGCGTTTTGATTTTATTCACAATTTACACTTTATCCCAACTATTTCAGAATTGGGGTTGTATTTTAAGAATAACGACAAGCAACATCTGACCAGTCAAAACGTCCATGTTTTGCAGTGAAATTTCAGATATGCCTGATTTTTGTTTTGATATCATGGTCCTCTATTACATTGGCACATACAGAGGGTTTTAAGACTTGTATTATAGTCCATAAAGACTGACATTAATGAATGAAACCAGCTTAGGGTCACCCTGCTGCCCAGTTCTTTATAGCTTAAAAATCCATACAAATCCCATCATTTATCATAACTATGAGATCTAAAAAATGTTAAGATTTTGCAAACTAAGACAAAGAAATTTGTCGCCTGCAAAAAAAGGCAGTGTGCATGTCTGTTTTTACTTTTATGTTTAAACAAATTGTGGTTACCAGCATTCAATTTGAGAACATTCATTCAAATTTCACAATTTCAAACATTACAGTGCTTATTTTACAGCCCTCTTTGCTCTGATTCAGCAAAAATATCATTCCTCCACTCCAAAAATTTTCCATCATATTTCTGATTCAGAGGTTCATGTTCAAAGTATGCCTTTCGTACCACTCTAATACTGTTCAAACTGGTCTAAAGGCTCTGGGAAACTGGTAGGCTTACAGGTCTAAAATGAATGTCTGTCTCCCTGAGTGTGATTTAAGCCCATTTAGCAGATAAACTGTCCAGCACTGTCCACATTTGCATGCACTCATTGTCTTAGCCTGCTTTTACAATGAACACTGTGTAATGGAGGCCATGGCATTGACCTAGAACAGCACTGAGGAATTAAGAAACAAAGTTGTACTACATGTGTAGGATCTACAATTAAACTGTTTGTTTGGTTGATGAGCAAATCCAAACATTAGTTCTTCCAAAAATAAACACTACTATTTTGAAAAGATTCTCAGCCGGCAGACGATTAAATCGCAAAACCCTCTGGTGCCGAGTGGAACCCATATAACAAGGCTATGAATATATACTGTCAGTTTTCGATAGCCTAGCGCTAATAAAACAGAATCAGAAACATAAAAACTCAAGTTATTGAAATGAGTTTGCACCAGTCATGGCTCTGGTCATGGAAAATTGTTTACTCCCGACATTTATGTTTAGAATTTTAAACAAAATGGCAGGATGGACAGTCATTATCAGCACGGCGGAGAAGAGAAGCAGAGAGGATGTACCGCATGACCAAGCAAAGGGAAATGGATTTAAATGTTAAACAGAATGGTGAACTTAAAGGGTATGCATTCGCCAACAGCAATTACATTTACGATTGGCCATATTGACTTCACGGGGTCTGTTTTCTTGGCGACTCCAGCACAAATGCACCTGAGTTCAGAGGAAAATTGCAAATTGTGTCTCACAAAATAGATTTTTTTTGTCTTTTCACCTTTACAAGTTTGGTGTTGAATAATGTGTTTGCCCAGCCCAGGATTATCATGCAATTTTCATGATTTTATAAATGCATCTCTCGTCTGAATGTGTGAACACGTATCACAAGAAATGTGAATATTTGACATTTTTATTTCAGTTTTACAGTTTTTAAATGCATGCTGTGCTTAATTATGCTGTGCGGTTCAGGTTGTGCAGTATTGTGTAATGAGTGTGCGCAACTTGAACGCGAAACGCTTGGAGGGCGAAACATCTGCTTTACCTCAAAAGTGTCAAAAAACGGAGGGAGGAAATGTTTCACAAACATTTGCAAAAAGTTTTACTTCTTGCTCCATATATTGAGCCCAGAGGACCCCGGGCAGGCCTTGGTATATCAGCAAGCAAAAGGTAAAAAATACTGAAAAAGAGAAATGTGTTTTATTAAAATACAGCCAGGAAGTTTAAGGCAGTTCATTATTTATGAAACGCTGGGTTCAAGTCTCTATTACCATGTCGTGGAAGTGACATCACTCTCACAGAGGGCATACTGTTGCTGGACTTCATATGAGAGAGAGGCAGAACCGCATGCGATGATTGGGCTGGAGATTAAAGGCACAGAGCGCATGAGAGCTGGGCCTTGATGGCTTCTGAGATGTTTCCCCAAGTGACGCCACATTCATCTTACCAAGTGCCTGTCTCAAATCAATGAAACTCTGTGGAAGTGGTGAAATCTAAAGGCGCAGTCTTCTTTCTTGTCATCTGGTTTGCAAATGTGATTCCGGAACATTCCGTGGAACACAGTTTGCAGGAGAGGGATTGCGAGACCGACTGAGGAGGAGTCTCTAATCGCGGCCTTCTGTGCCTGGCCAGTCTGGGGATGTTTATTCCGCAGAACTGTTCATGGGAGCAGTTTATTATTGGTTTTAGCACTGGCATATAAATGTAATATATATTTTATTTGAGGGGGCAATTAAGTGCTAAAATTAATACTATTCAGTCTCATCTTTCTTATGATCGTATAAACTAGCTATCCTTGTGAACCCTCTCAGGACGCACTTGCTCTTTGCTCCTGATGTAGTCTCCAGATAACTGTAGTGTGCTCCAAGGCTGTGGTGTGTATGTGTCGATGCATTGTTTCAAAAGGAAGAGAAATGGGGGTAGTTTGAATGGTATTAATGAAACCATCTCCCCAGCACACTCACTGTTAATGTATTTTCCTCCAACCTGCCACTTCTACAGCTGCCACAGTTGAGCTAACACCTGGAGTTGGGAGAGTACCTGAATTCAGTCGGTCATAACCCAATTCATGAGTACGTGCATTGAGTTTTTAGCTGGCATGTCCCCAACTACAAACATGAACATTGACACCACGTGGCATGACCTGATCAACTGAACCAATTGTAGTTCATGTCCGAAATAGTTGGGACAAAGTGTAGATTGTGAATAAAATCAAAACGCAATTACTTTCAAATCACACCAACCAGTATTTTATTCACAACAGAACAGAGATAACATAGCAAATGTTGAAACTGAGAAATTTCACAATTTCATCCACAAAATGAGCTCATTTCAAATTTGATGGCTGCTACAGGTCTCAAAAAAGTTGGGACAGGGGCCTGTTTACCACGGTGTAGCATCCCCTCTTCTTTTTAACACAGAGTGGAGGCGTCTGGGCATTGAGGGGACAAGTTTCTTGAGTTTAGCCATTGGAATTTGATCCCACTCTTGTTTAATACAGGCTTCCAGCTGCTGGAGAGTATTGGGTCTCCTTTGACGGACTTTTCGTTTAATTATGCACCAAATGTTCTCAATCGGTGAAAGATCAGGACTGCAGGCAGGCCAGTTCAGCACACGGACTTCTACTGCGAAGCCATGCTGTTGTAATAGCTGCAGTATGTGGTTTTGCATTGTCCTGCTGAAATACACAAGACCTTCCCTGGAATAGATGTCGTCTGGAGGGGAGCATATGTTGCTCTAAAACCTTTATATACCTTTCAGCATTCATAATGCTTTTTAAAACATGCAAGTATCCCACACCATATGCACTAATGCATCCCCATACCATCAGAGATGCTGGCTTTTGAACTGAACACTGATAACAGGAGGGGTGGTCTTTCTCCTCTTTAGCCCGGAGGACACAACGCCCATGATTTCCAACAAGAATGTCAAATTTAGACTCGTCTGACAACAGAACACTTTGCTACAGTCCATTTTAAATGAGCCTTGGCCCACAGAACACGGCGGCGCTTCTGGATCATGCTCAACAATGGCTTCCTTTTTGCATGATAGTTTTAGGGGGCATCTGTGGATGGCCCGGCAGACTGTGTTTACAGACAGTGGTTTCTTGAAGTATTCCTGGGCCCATTTAGTAATGTCAATGACAGAATCATGCCAGTGAGTGATGCAGTGGCGTCTGAGGGCCCGAAGATCATGGGCATCCAGTAAAGGTCTTCGGCCTTGTCCCTTACGCACAGATATTTTTCCAGTTTCTCTGAATCTTTTGATGATGTTATGCACTGTGGATGATGAGACCTTCAAAGCCTTTGCAATTGATGTTGAGGAACAATTTTTTTTTACGCAAGCCTTCACAGGTTGGAAAGCCTCCGGCCATCTTTACTTCTGAGAGACTCGGCCTCTCTAAGACATCCCTTTTATAGCCAATCATGTTACACACCTGATGCCGGTTAACTTAATTACTTGCTAAATGTTCTTTCAGCTGATTCTGTTATATATTAATTGCTTTTTCAGCCCTATTTTGCCAGTGTTCCAACTTTTTTGAGACCTGTTGCAGCCAGACAATTTGAAATAAGCTCATTTTGTGGTCTCAGTTTCAACATTTGAAATGTTATCTATGTTCTATTGTAAATAACATATTGGCTCGTGATCTGACAGTCATTGCATTTTGATTTTATTCACAATTTACACTTTGTGCCGACTATTTCAGAATTGGGGTTGTAACATTTGGTTTTGAGTTCAAACAACAGAACATTCCATTCATGGTTTGGATTTTACACTTTTCTGGGGGAAATACTGGATTTCCTTGCATCTGTTTAATGTTTAGTATTAAGTGCAATGAAATATGAATCTGTCATGGTTTTCATCCCGCCGGATGCCAAAGCAATCTGGCGGGCACTAGGACCATGGACCTAGATGATAAGATAAGATACACGTTATTGAACCCCGTGGGGTAATTTGTCCTCTGCATTTGACCCATCCTATAGTTAGGAGCAGCCACAGAGCAGCGCCCGGGGACCAACTCCAGTTCTAAAGCCAGTTCCTTGGTCAGGGGTACTGGTTGGAGTGTTCCTATGATGCATGTTTTTGTGGGTGGGGGAAACCAGAGTACCCAGAGAAAACCCACGCGAACATGGGGAGAACATGCAAACTCCACACAGAAAGGCCCCAGGCCGGAATCAAACCCAGGACCTCCTTGCTGTGAGGCAACAGTGCTAACCACTGCACCACCGTGCCGCCCTAAGAGAGAAAGAGAGAAACTCAAATGCCAAGGCTGGTCCAAGAACTGGAGGTTTAATTATAAAATAAAACAAAGCCATAAACAAAAAAAAAAAAAAAACAAAACCAGGGAGCAGCACAGGTTCCCACATGACAAAATAAAAATAGGCAACTTGGGACTGGCAACTGCCAGCCCTACATACTCTGCCATCACTTCCACCTTAACGGGCTGCACCTGTTGCCCGTCAAGGTGGAGGTGAAAGAGAGTGACAGGGGAGGGGCTGTAAGGCCCAAACCCTTACAGAATCATGCTTGGCAAGACACCAAGGAGATAAATGTCACACGTGAATTAAGAAAAATAAAATATCAACGAATGTAAGAGCTTCTTGTACAGAAGGGGGCACTATTCACAGAAAAAAAGCATTTTCATGTATTCGTTTTTTTATTGATAGTTTTTTTTCACAATTTCAGTGCTATTCTTTTTTGATTCTTCAATTATGATCATTAATATTCTCTAAAGAAAACCCAAGGTAGAGTATGACATTCTGGCTGTCTAATGGGGCAATATCATGAATGTATTACCTTCCAATTATGAGGAAATGAGAGGCTGTATTGTTTCTCATTTATGAGCGCAATGATGCTCCCATGTTAGAGGCAAAGTGTTTCTTTTTCAGCTAATGATATTTGATGCTCTGCTATTCTTCTGCAAGCCTTATAGAGAATAATTTGCTGTGTGATTTCAATTCATTTCTTCTCACTGGAACTTCAGTTTAGCCACTGAAGCGGCCTTGGAGTTGGCAGTAGATGTATTAGCATTTAAATGCACCGTTTGAATTATTTCTGCTGGCAGTCAGCCTCACTATAAGCTGAATCAATCAATCTTTGTTACCGCAGCCTCGGCAATGAATCGCCCGAAGAGACCCTCGGAGCTTAAACGTGGAGAAAACAAAAAGTGAGAGAGTGCGGGATCATTTAAAGGAAAATGAAGCTCAAGAATGTGGCTGATTAATCATGGTACCTTTATAACCGAAACCTTCAAGAAAACGGTAAACATACTCTGTCAGTCAGGTGTGGGTGTGTATAGTTATACTCTTTAAAAAAAAATCTGGTGAGTTGGTTAAATTTCTGTTCGAAGAATAATTTGCTTAAATATATGCAGCATTTGCAAGGTGAAACAGCCTTGAAACACAAAGTTTTTAAACCTCGGAGCTTTTAAATCACAGTGTGTGACAGTAAGAAAATGATTCTTTTTGTATGTCTGCCATACTGTCTTTGCCCTAGTGGCTGTTTGTGTTGCTTGTGAAAAGGACACAGATTCTCACTGACAGGCCTTATATTGATCTGCTGGTCCAAAATTTATGCAAATACATTCATATGACCTGTGTTGAAGGTCATTTTATTTTCTCCTGTTATATTCAAATTCAACTCCGTCCAACCCAAGAGAATACTAAAAAAATCAGACAAATGAGGACACTGAGTGTAGACCTTTTTTGGGTCTGATAATACAGGCATGCCAGAAAAGGCAACTATTGTTTGTGACACGACAGCATAGCTTTAGATTTGAAGGGACATAAGGGGCAAATTCAACAAATTTTTTATATTCACAGAACACGCCAGCATTATTAATTCATCACTGAAGACACTTTTTCCTCAGAATTATGACCACTTTACTTTCACGGTGAATACTGTCAGATAAACTGACAAATATATTTCAGGCTTTTTGCCTCTTCAGCAAAATGATTATCAACAAATAGTTAATAAAAATTAATATCAATGATCAGTTAATTGCATCATCAGTCAGTTTTATTAAGTGCAAAAACAATGATGAAAAACCAGTGCCACATAATTAATGTCAGTTGTTCACTGAATCTGCGTGCTCTCACATTTGACTAGCGTAAGGACACATCTGGGCAATTATAAGGACTTTTGTGGATCGTTACACATCACCAAAGGTCTGGGTCAATTATGTAATTTGTTTGGATTCAGCTGTACTCAATCAATCCTACCCGGGGTTCCTGAGCCAACCAAAAGGACCAGTAGCATGCATTTTTTGAGGGTATTTTATTGGTTCTAACACACCCAACAAGCTCAGTAAAGCATATAAAAGTAAATAAATCCAAAACAGTAAGGTTATTGACTGAGGTCTAATCACCTAATTTATTATTGAGGTCAAAACTTGGATGCCCATCACCATAAATCTCTGGGCTCTAAACAAAAATGTTTCAGAAACCCAGGTAAACCCCACATGGGGATGCCCACTCAGAGGCTCATACCTGGTCCCAGATTGGTGGTTTCATTTGGTAATATATATTCCTTCATTCGAATGGCAACATAATGACTGGTGCCTGGTCCTTGCACTGACAGCTTCATCAAGTAGTGTACTCTGGATGGCAATGGACACATGGCGGCCGGTGATTGGTGTCATATCGATGGTTTCACTCTGTGCTACATCCTTATATGGCAGGGCTATTCAATTAGCGGCCTACAGGTGAAGTCTCGGCTGCAAATCAATTCAGACCGGCCCGCCAATCAGTTCTGTCAACTAGCGATCAAATAAAAAATCAGGGTGATTATCTTACATTTTTGACACAATGAATCCAAACACGCTAAACTTCCAATCAAAGAACCAAAGGCTCAAGCGGCATTGTTGATGACAACAGATCACAAGTATGCACCATTGTGTCCGACCAATAGGATGGTCATGAAAAAATTTGAAACAGGGATTCCACGTAACTGGATGGTCTGTGGTCTCAAATTAAACCACCATTTACAACTCAGCGGAAGCATTTTTTAAAAGCTATTTAAACTGTGCTCCATATGGGATCAGTTTATTTATGAATATCACGTTAACTTTAAGTATTATTCCGCATAGCAACAGCTAAAAGTAAATATGCAAAGCCTGCTTCCCCATCCGCAAAAATGTACATCGATCCAGCTTCCAGAGGATCTGCGAAAGGAAAATGAACTGTTGAGACGAACCTGATTGAAGAAGAAACCAGTTTTCTTGTGCCGTCACCACGTCTCTCGCAACATCTGGCTTGCTTGCAAGATCTTGGCTGAGCCACCTCGTGTTCAATTTTACAGGAGTAAATATAAGCTAGCCACATAGAAAAATGTCGCAAGAAAGAATATCGCCAATTCAACATTGCATTAATTGACATCGCAGGGAGGAAACAAATGTGTCTCTTTTACCGCAGAAATGCCTTTGCTGCTAAGGAATACATTCTCTCTCTCAGAGAAGTACAAGTTTTTGTGGCCATAGCTGTGTGATCTGTTGCCCCTCTACTGTAGACGATCTCTAGTTTCATTCTTTATTATCAGCTGTATAAGCAATATGTTAATATTTTGTAATACAACTTTTTTTTTTTAATATTACAAATCAGAATTGCATGTGTGCGGCTTAAAATGCATCTCAGTATGCCAAATAAAAAAAAAAAAAAACTACTGTATTAGGCCTACAAGTGTTGGAATGAAATGTTATGTTGGTGAAATGTAAAAGAAAAAAAAATACTGTCTCTTAAAGAGATGGGGGAGATCGTTGGCCCCCAAGAAATTTATTTGTTGAAATGTCGCCCCCCAGAAAAATCTAAATGAATAGTCCTGTTGTACGGGAATGGCTACTCGTGCACTGACAAACCCCTGTACCATGGCTGATGCTGGCTGTTGAACCTGATGCAAAAAACAGCATGGGTTGGCCTTGTCGTTTGGCCTGGAGATCACAGCAGCTGTTCAAAATCCACTTGAAATATTGACTCGCTGGATCACGAAACACACCTCTACTGCGCTACTGTCCATCCCAGATGGTATCGAGCCCAGAGGAGTTGGTGGTGCTTTTGGACAGTGTTGATGTATGACACCAGCTTTCTATACTAAAGCTTAATCGTGTATCAGTGGCTACGGCTGCTAATTATGTTGACTGCCATATGTTCACCAAAGTATTACCGAGCACGTCATATTCATCAGAGTCACGAGCCGGCTCTTATGGGGGAGTAAACGTGCCTGTTTTTCTTATATTTGAGTGGTCATACCTTAGAATTAGAAACTAGCAGCTGATAATAGTACATTTTGAAGCGATTGATCCAAATCTGCCTGCTAGGTGTTGCATCCCTGCAGTTAATTAACTAAATTCAGTTAAGCACACATTATCTCTCAAAGTAATGGATTATAAGATTTTGCATTTGTTGGAGAATTGGTGCACCCTGTCCCATTTTCTTCTTTTATAGAGGTTTATTTTATTCTGCTACATCATTAGCTCACTTATTTGAAATGACCATTTTCACTTCACCTTACTGCATGGTGGCACATTTCTGGAGTGTTATGAAAAAACCTAGTAAGTTACAAAAAGCTGATTTCGAGAAAAAGACAGACCGTATCCCTCTGGGGTTAAGCTCTTGTCCGACAATGAAACTGACTTGGCAGTTATTTCTTCATTACATAATAAGCGATATTTATGGAGGGATTTTTTTTTTTCTTTTTATCAGTATCCATGGCAATATGACTTACACAATTTTTCCATGTGAAAATGTAAAATGTCATTTCTGAAAATGATGGACAAAAACCTAATGATTATGCAGCTGCAGTGGCATTTGACAGTTCAGTGTTAACTGCACCATCTGCTTCCCTCTTGAAACCATTTTTCAGTCATTATGAGTGCGTGAATTGCGTGAATTATGAATTCTATCCAGTTATCTCCTGCGCATCCAATGCTCTGCATGGGGACTAACTTGACAGATCATGCAATAGGCATGCTGCTTCATAATTGGCTAATTTAACTTCCCAGGTTTTGTCATAACAAAAAAACAGAAAATTTTACATGGAAAAACCAAGGAAGATCAACTTGCTCGGTTTTTAACTTCACTACTGATTGGATATCAATTATTTTTCATGTATCTTATGTATATGATGAGACAAAGCCTAGTAAGTACAAAATGGTCCTAACTCAATTTCAACCAAAATTAGACTTAGTTTTTTCCATAACACAAGATTTGGTGCCTTTGTCTCCTCAATCAATATTGGGA